TAAATAAATAAATAAATAAATAAATAAATATGAAGTTGAACCATTTATGTATTAGGAAAATCAAAAGACAGAAATGCTCTCATGCATTTTTATGTTAAACAACATGATGAATGTGATGGCCAAATCCTGATTATGAAATTGGATGCTGCCCTTACCAGGGGCACTGCTCCTGGTGAGGATGGTATCATGTCCAAGATTGTATCAGTAAACAATCTGGGCATGTATGGTAATTATCAGTAAACAATCTGGGCATGTATGGTAATTATCAGTAAACAATCTGGGCATGTATGGTAATTATCAGTAAACAATCTGGGCATGTATGGTAATTATCAGTAAACAATCTGGGCATGTATGGTAATTATCAGTAAACAATCTGGGCACGTATGGTAATTATCAGTAAACAATCTGGGCATGTATGGTAATTATCAGTAAACAATCTGGGCACGTATGGTAATTATCAGTAAACAATCTGGGCATGTATGGTAATTATCAGTAAACAATCTGGGCATGTATGGTAATTATCAGTAAACAATCTGGGCATGTATGGTAACTCACATATGTGCACGAATGATGGTGAAACGAGTGAAAGTGATGGTGACAAGTAATGATGATGGGTGGTGGTACTGTGAACTAGAGTGGCAGTACAACACCACAGTAGTGATGGGTGGTGGTACAGTGAACTAGAGTGGCAGCACAACACCACAGTAGTGATGGGTGGTGGTACTGTGAACTAGAGTGGCAGTACAACACCACAGTAGTGATGGGTGGTGGTACTGTGAACTAAAGTGGCAGCACAACACCACAGTCCACCACAATCACCTCCGTAATGTCAGCATGGTTGACTGCTGCCCTCACCACGTCCAGACCGCTCACCACCTCCCCGAAGACACCTGACCACTGGTGGCCCGCTGGGAGGTCCCTCGTAGTGATGATGAACTGGCCACTGCCCATCCACCACAAGGACTTGACAGATCCTGCCCTGCTTGACTCCTGGTACTTGCCCTCCAGGTCAGAGAACAGGGCGGCTCCTCCTCCACCGTCATTTCTATCGTAGTCTCCACCCACAACACATTCCCCTGGCTGGCCCCAGTCCCTCACCTGGAGGAGCTTCGTATTGTGGTAGGTGGGGCCCCATTTGCCCGTACACAACAGCACAAACTGTTTGGCCAGCGGAGTGTTTAGGGTCAGCCGGATGGTGACCCTCCCTCTTGTTGACCCCGCCCACCCGAGGTCAAGGAACGCCAGGGTGCAGGAGGGGTCCAGGGCGTCCATAATCTCCCTCACCTGCAGAACAAATACTTGTAGCTTTGTATAATGTTATTGGGTTAGTTATTAATATTAATTTAGTATATCTTCAATAAGACTGATATGATACTACACTACACTATACTAATTGTTCATAAGACTGGTATGAATTTAAATCACCCGGGCTCTAGGAGACTCGAACCACGTCCCCACGTGTGTGAGGCTAAAGCTCTATCCACTCAGTTGGTTATTTCCACAGAAGTGTGGATGACAATTTATATGACTGACATGAATAATAAAGTAACCTGGATGGTGTGGGTTTGGGCGGGCGTGGGCTGATGCAGGAGTGAGTGAAGGTACACCTGTCCGACCTGCAAAGTTATTCTGGCGAAGCGGCAGCCATCTTGGTCTTGTTGGACAGCAAACACTCTGCCAGTCTCCACCAGCCTCTTGACAGCCAATGGCCAGCCAGCCCCAATTAGTCTCTTGATGGGCTGACTCATCAGGCGGAGGTCCTCAACCTGTGGATAGTGTCAGCCCCATGATAAGTAAACCCGCCACAATTACTAAAACAACTGCCTCCACCCTTGATCAGATTCAGACAAACATAACCTCTGGAATACTCACTGATAGTTCAACTGACCACTACCCTAGATTTCTGCGAACCAGCATTAACAAACCACCACTAGAAACAATGAAGATTAGCTTAGGCTTCACAATGAAGCTTCCTTAAGTAACCTTGTTGCCGCTGCTGGTAACATCAACTGGAAGACTGAACTCAGTAATATGTCAACTTCGACATGGGTGTAAATATTTCTTCACAAAACTTTAAGTCTCTATAATACTCACTGTTCCATGCTAACTAAACAAGTCATAATCATAAGGACTAACAACCCTTGGCTCACCAAGGGATACTTAAATCAATTAATAAAATAACATAAATATGAGAACAAACATTCCCAAAAAATTGTCTAAAAAGTACTCCTCACTGCTTTCTAAGATAATAAAAAAGTCAAGGGCACCTGCTATGAAAATAAATTGAATAAAATAAGAGGTAATATGAAAACCATGGAACACTATTTCGCCGGTATTAGGATCAAAGAACTTGATAAAAAAAACAATATTTCTAGCTGGAAATTGTGGCAAGTTATCAATCGCTGAGGCGGCAACTAAATTTATTAGTTTTAGTGACCTTATCCATCAGCTATTGCTGATGGATAAGGTCACCGTGGTGACCTTATCCGGTCATAAGGTGGTGGATAAGGTTTAACAGTCTCCGTGGTGTAGTGGTAAGACACTCGCCTGGCGTTCCGCGAGCGCTATGTCATGGGTTCGTATCCTGGCCGGGGAGGATTTACTGGGCGCAATTCCTTAACTGTAGCCTCTGTTTAACGCAACAGTAAAATGTGTACTTGGATGAAAAAACGATTCTTCGCGGCAGGGGATCGTATTCCAGGGACCTGCCCGAAACGCTACGCGTACTAGTGGCTGTACAAGAATGTAACAACTCTTGTATATATCTCCAAAAAAAAAAAAAAAAAAAAAAAAAAAAAAAAAAAAAAAAATAGAAAATGAGATCCTAGCATAGCAAACAAATGCAGGTTAATACTTCTCTGGCATCATCCAGGGTCCCTGTACCTATCTCCCAACAAATTGGACCCCCCCCCCCCTTGCACTACCCACAGCTCTGCTATTCAACACATCTCTAGAGTGTCATACTTTTCCTGTTATCCATAAGGGGCCGGGCGCACAATCTATCAATCTTCCTCAAACACTTTCAAATGTTTTGTGCATAATCTACATGGTAAATGCTCAAACGTTTCCCAATAGATTAACATCATAACATGAACAGAAAAAAATACAAAATTTCATGAGTTTTTTCTTTAAAATGTCACCAATTTTTATTTTATTTATTATGTATAAAATGTATAAATCCCCCAAAAATGTATAAATCCCAAAGTTATGGGTTTATGACTAAACACATTTGAGGAAACCTTCGAACTAAGAACCTTGTACATAATATTTATAAATGGCGAGAATCGCTCAGAAACTAACTTTTTAACTCAGTGTTAAAGTTGAAAATCCTGTTCATGGAAGTAAACCTCTCGACAATAAATATAGTAGTTCGAATTGATTTCATATCTGGCAGGTTTTAATATATAAATATTATAATATATTAATATATATATTATTAATATAAATATATAATATATATTTAGCAATTATATAATTTATATTTAGTGGTCCACTGTGGTGGACCACAGTCCACCACAATCACCTCCGTAATGTCAGCATGGTTGACTGCTGCCCTCACCACGTCCAGACCGCTCACCACCTCCCCGAAGACACCTGACCACTGGTGGCCCGCTGGGAGGTCCCTCGTAGTGATGATGAACTGGCCACTGCCCATCCACCACAAGGACTTGACAGATCCTGCCCTGCTTGACTCCTGGTACTTGCCCTCCATAGGCCTCTTGCCACTCATGTCATTATTAATATAAATATATAATATATATTTATATTTATATATAATATATATTTAGCCTCGAGGGCCTCGACTGCACCTGTCGGCTTCGCCGTCCCTTCACTTTTATTTTTTTTTGCTGTCTCTAAGCTCTCCGCAATCCTCAAATGATGCAGTTTTCCCAGAAGACAGCTAAGCACTCAGTGGCCCAAATGTGATTGAAACAGTCTTCCATACCAATCTTCGAAATCTCATTTCGACCTCACTAGTGTTGTTCCCTGGAGGAAGCTGCACCCGACGTTCTCTGCTGCCACATCAACGAGTCTTCACTATTGTACCTGCCTACATTTATCCTGCTACCATGAATAACAGATCCAAGTCCGGTAAGGCTACTAAGGCAGATAGCACACCGATCAAGAATAAATCAACTAGCCAGGCTAGCAATAAGGTTAGTCCAGGTGTCCCTCCCTCTGGGGCCGCCGCACATTAGCATTGTGGGGCTGGTATATTAGTATATTGGTTATATTATAACCACATAAGAAACTGGTCTAGGCCACATACTAGTGTTAGTAGCTCTCAGGTAAACAGGTAAACTCTGAACACCAGCTTTCTCGTGCAGCTGGATCAAGCAGCGGAATTTACTGTTCATTCAAGAACAAGAAAGTAAGAACTCTTGTATATATAAATAAATGTCTGCGGCCCTCGGCACCGCGTTAATTCTGCCAGCTTCCTGTGTGATGGTGGAGTCTCCCGGGTGCATGGAGATAGCTGTGTTCACCTAGTTGTGCTTGCAGGGATTAAGGTCTGCTCTTTCGGCCCGCCTCTCAACTGTCAATCAATCAACTGTTACTAACTACTAGGTTCCCCCCCCCCCACACACAGGAAGCAGCCCGTAGCAGCTATCTAACTTCCAGGTACCTATTTACTGCTAGATAACAGGGGCATCAGGGTGAAAGAAATTCTGCCCACTTTGTTTTTCGCCGGAGCCGGGAATCGAACTCTGGTCCACAGGATTACGTGTAAAGCGTGCTGTCCTCTCAGCCACCAGTGCCCCTCAACTGTAACAGCTGTGACGCTGTTACAGTGTAATTATTGCGAACTTTCGATTTTATACATAATAAATAAAATAAAAATTAGTGACATTTTAAAGAAGAAACTCATGAAATTTTGTATTTTTTTTCTGTTCATTTTATGATGTTGATCTATTGGGAAACGTTTGAGCATTTACCATGTAGATTATGCACAAAACATTTGAAAGTGTTCAAATGTTCGCAATAATTCATTTAAATCTCTATCTCAACTGAACCTGTAAAAAAGAGCATACAGTTAATATTACAGGGCAAGATGAACTCGAAAAAAATTAATTAGCTTACAGTTAACTGCTCCAGATGGTTTCCTCCAGCAATACTGCAAGCTTCCTGTGTGGTGGTGGAGTCTCCCGGGTGCACGGAGACAGCTGTGACACCTGCCTCTGTGATTATCATCTCCAGGGCCGCGTTGATAATGTCCTGCACCTGTACCAACCAACACAAACATTAATGGTGGAGGCTGATCTCCCAGGCGGACGATAACACCTGCCTCTGGCGTTGGTCACCAAGAAAACTGGAAAACGACCGACAAAAGACGAACAAGTCCCGCGACGAAGGAAGGACTAGCATTAGAGCAGACATTGGTTACGACGAAACAGTCCCCATGACGTAGTGGTAAAGCACTCGCCCGGCGCTTCACCTTGGCCAAGAAGGAGCCGCTCATACCTTAGGTTAATATATTTAGCCTGTAATTTTCAAACTAGACCTACCGCTTGGAATACGGCAGACGAAGTGCCGATCCCAAAACCCAAAGATCCAGCTAATCCCAGGCCCATCACTCTCCAAAGCTGTGCAGCCAAGACGGCTGACAGAATGGCACTCAACAGACTTGAGTTGAAAATGTTTAAACTGCACCAGGATATGTATGCCTATAAAAGAGGGGTTGGCACAGTGGAATGTATTACGATTCTGTTAGCCCACCAGAATGAAAGACCAGGAACGCTGATATTCCTAGACCTCCAGAAATCCTTTGAACTGGCTAGCGCCCCAGCTAGCTGTTGCCTCATTGATATGAGGCAACAGGTCAAGACATAGGTACCTCTTGACAAGATGTCAAAGAGACTTTGACCTCTTTGACAAGAGGTTAAAGGCAACCTGCTATCCTGGACCAAACACTGTCTTATAAACAGAGAAGCAAGAGTGAAGCTTCACGGCACAGTCTCTGAATAAAAAATTCATGAAAATGGTACACCACAAGGAGACATTCTCAGCCCCCTTCTCTTCAACTGTTTAATGAAAAGAATAGTGAGGCTGAATTTCCCACAACACTGCAGGCTGCTAAACTGTGCGGACGACTTTGTCATTATCATGTATACTGCGCGCCTTGACTTTAAAACTCAACCCCACAAAGACAAACGTCATGCCCGTAAAAATAGTGAAGCCCAACAACCAAATTAAAGTACAGGGTCAACCAATTGAATGGGTGGACACTTATCAGTATCTTGGAATAATCCTGGACACATAAATTTTAATGCTGAGGTCACTTGAGAGAGAGAGAGAGAGAGAGAGAGAGAGAGAGAGAGAGAGAGAGAGAGAGAGAGAGAGAGAGAGAGAGAGAGAGAGAGAGAGAGAGAGAGAGAGAGAGAGAGAGAGAACTGCGGCCCAAACGGCATTCCTCAGGTCGCTAACTTCCCTTCCTGCAGGAGCTAGTCTGCAAGTCCTTCGCACATACTATATACAGGGAGTCAGCTCAGTGATCAACTATGCCGCACCTGCACTCACAAGCCTCTCACAACGACAGTGGAAAAAGCTTGAAGTAGCCCAAAACAATGCTATGAGAGCTACTCTGGGAGCCTCTATGTGGACCAGACTTGAAACTCTAAGACTGGAAACGGGTTTGCCCTCTACAAGAAAGAATATACCAAAGAACAGCTACGATTATAAGTAAGATAATTGTTCCCCTGATCCAATCCCAGTACGGCAGGCCTTGGTGGTTGGACTTGGCCAAAACAACGGAAATTCTTGGGCTGCCAGATCGGAAGAAGTCCTAAACAGACTACAATTAAAAAAACGTGATTCATGATAGAGGAGGTGATCATCTACACCCAAACTACACTTGTTCCCCACCGTGGGAGGATCCTACCTTCAGAACAGTAATAGAAGATCTTCCGATGAAAAAGCTGCCTATGATCCAACAGTCCTATGGCTCAGTGGCGCATCATAGAAAAGCAAATGAGAAGCATTGCAGTAGCAGTAGCCACCCACATTTTCACAGACGGATCGGTGGACATAGAGAAACTCGCAAGAATATATAATTATGCACTAATTAATAGTTACGTTAATATGAATTGTTGTATCTGAACCCTTCTTCCGTGTATTAAACTGATATCCTCATCTGGGATCCATATTCATGCCAGCAACTACATCTAAAGTATGTGTATATGAACACTGCTAGCTGCATCTTGAGCAAGACACGACTAACTCAGGTGCAGTTAGTCAGGATGACACTTGTTGTAGGTGATTTGACGTATTCTGATACTGAACTAACTCATCAACTGAACGGACTAATAACAAACTAACCCTTAACATTGATCAAAGTTTTAAATGTTGCTGCAGCTCCTTGGCTGTCACAACGGAAACACATCACCTGAAGCACTTGTGAAGGCCCTGCAAAAATTGGCGGATGCCGTTGATGCTAATAGAGTACATCAATGCAACTTGTCTATGTGGCCAGGATTTCAGAATAAGGATCAGTATTGTATGATTCATAAAAGTATTTGTGTGTACGTCTGATACCATACTACTTGTGAAGGAGGAAATGTATATGTTTACCTCTCAGAATGTTTGGTAATATGTTTATTGTTTGTGATGTGTGTCTATGTATATATTAACACGTTGTACTGAATGGGGTGAGAATAGCTTGAGCTACCTCATCCCTTTGTGTGTATTTTACCTCAATAAACTTATTTCAATTTCAATTTCAATTTCAGTATTGTATGAGATCAAATTATAAAACATGGGTACCGGGTACAGGCAGAATTCATAGATATAGTTTGTTAACATTTACGTAATATCTAATAGCTTACCCTCATTGAAGTGTAGACAGTGTTTGGGTCAGGGAAGAGCTGCTCGCATTCCTGGAGCCAGTGTTTGGCCTTGCCTGTCGCGATGCTCACGTCGTGAGCGTTGATGACTTTATTTAGTAACATTATCTCCAGTTGTTTATTTACTTCCTCTCCTTTATTCACATACTTCATCACACTGCAATCCTCTTGGTCGAGGAGACTCACTGTAGCAGTGTTGAGGCCCACCAGCCGGTCCTGTAGCTGTAGGTGTTCAGTCTTCCAGTCCCTCAGTCGACCCCTGTACCCTCCTAGCTTGTTCAGCGCCTCCTCACAACTTGTAATGAGGTTCTTCATGCTGGTCTTCTCATGCAACATGGACTGCAACTCCATGTTGGTCTCGTTAAGCTTCCCAACCAAGTTCTCGACACAAAAGTTTATTGGGAACACAGTTGCAGATGTTGCACTGTGTTGCATACGGCAGGTGGGGCAGGTGAGCTTGTCGTCCTTAATAGTATTGTCAATACATTCTGAGCATATTGTGTGCCCACAAGGGAGGCTGCGAGGCCGTCTCACAGCTTCCCCATAGTTCCTATAACAGGCGGAACACTCCTCTGGCTTGTGGAAGTTCTGTGGAGATAATTGCAGCAAAAGATAATCATGTATATCTGCGTTAATCTATATGCAATAGGTTATATGTAAAGTACAGACATTTGAACAGAAGAAATGTACTCATTTAGTGCACATAAGAACAGCCATATACAGGAAGGTCGTCATCGTATAGGGATCATCTCGTAAAAATTTATTCTCACCATCATATAGAAAGAAGCAGCATAAATCCTGGAGCTGGACGAGGTGTTGGCTGTTCTCAACAACAGGCTTCAGTAGTGTCTGTGGTCGTCCTTGGTGGCCGAGCTAGAGGCTGTCAATTATAATGTAATGTAATGTCAATTATAATTGTAATGTAATTAAAAATTAATAAAACAGCCGATACTCGTCTCAGAAAGTCACAAGAATCATCACGAGAGGACGTTCTAGTTAGCATTGTATTGAGAAATTAGAGAAATTATTGTTTGATTAATTCATCTTGGAGACACGTGTAATGTTACATGGTGAACTGTGTAATACCCAGAGTGTGGAGGTGGACAAGTTACGTGAGGAAGTGTTAAGGAACACTTGGTGGACTGTGTAATATCCTGAGAGCGTAGGTTCAGATTTCAAGAACTGTCAGTTCAATGACAGTTCTGTTACATCTTACATCATCTGTGATGATGTAAGGACGAAGAGGGAGAACGGCCTGTTGACATAGCTCGGGTGCAGGGGGGGGGGGGTTGTGTAAAAGCCTGGTTTGTGCCTCGGAGAGGCTGCGGGATCCAGTAAGTTCAGTAGAACTTCGGTTTCAACCCTTTTAACCTGTCGTAGCTCAGTCGATTAAGGCAGTGTCTGGGATGCTCCTGGACGCAGGTTCGAATCCTCGTCACGGCCCTTGTGGATTTGTTCATTTGATGCATGACGTTAGTGTGATCTCTGTGTGTGTTACTGAAGCTCGACAATCTACGACCACCTCTCGACGTGGTCCATCCTTCAATATTCAACCAGAAGCGTTTCCTGCCCTACCAACAATACAGTAACCACTCTACAACCTAACCAATGGGGGAGCAATTTTCCAGCGTGTGGCTCAATCAACAACCCAGCCATAACCTTAAACATGGATGTTTTCTGCCTTAGAACAAGCGGTGTTACACATCTGCCGGTAAAACCACTCTACTTTAGGCAAGGCGCATTACCATCGGAGGTCAACCCCATTGTTTTCCTGAGCATACTCGGGAGTAGACGGAGGGCCTCCTTATGTAATGCGCATTGCCGGGTAAAGCACCGTCCATCGCTACTGCGACCCGGTGAGGGGGTGGCTACAATGCGCCACAAACGTCTCAAAGTTAGAACTACCTCCCCTCGACGGTAAGGCTTACACCAAAAGCAATCTTTTGAAGATCCTCAAGGACGGAGCCGCCATTACACCCATCGACGTTGGTCAGGAAAGGGTGGATATTGTGCTCTACTTATTGTGTGAGGAGGTCCTTGAAAAATTCCAGGAATTATATTGCACACTCTGCCAAGGGCACCACCTCCTTCCCACTTCCCCGTCAGTACTTCGTCGAAAGAACAGTTTCTATCAGGAGGACCAGCCGCTGGCTTGCGGAACGGACATGAAGGGAGATCATTGCCAACATCGAGGACGAAAACCCAAACCTGGGGTATTCGACCCTCGGCACCGACGACGAGCACCCAACTATTAAGCTATCTTTTACCACCTTAACAGCATTGCCAGATTGTGCTTTAAGTATTGAATTGGGCTACTTTTGAGAGCCCAACGCTCCCAAATGTTTAATTAAGCAACTTGCTACTTTTTTGGCCAATTTAAAAGAAAGTTCAGCTAATTTAGGCTACCAATGTTAGGAAATTCAATGATGATTATTTATGCTTATATAATATAATGTACAAATCACAGCCGTATCGCTTCGTCCTCTTGTGATATGTTGCAAGGCAACAATTGTCAATGTACTCTGATCCTGCCTATAACCCGCATTTCAAATTTCTCAAACCAGTCCTAAATGATTTTGAAAGGATGAATTTTCTTTATCAAAAAGATGAAGAAGATCAGTGTAGCCTTCACACTGAGTCAGATAACTTCACTCTTGGAATGCCCAGAAGAATTGTGCATCCTCATCATGCAAAGTTTGATGTTAATTTGGACTACAGTTCCTTATATCTGGCCCTGGAGAAAGTGCACTCGACACTTCTGGCCACTCACAGACAAAGCAATTTATAACGAATATTTTGGAAACGTTTCAAAATATTCAGATCCGATCAGAGCGGACTGATCTGATCTGAATCAGTGCGGACTCAATCACATTTCGTTCAGCGAAACCCTTACTTTTAACAATACATTTCGCCCCAATGAAATCGATAGAATGATCACATAAACTGGTCTATCACATCATATGGTCTATCACATCACATAGACAGCCCGTTAGTGTATTTCAGATACATTGACGATATTTTGGGAGTGATGACGGGTGGAGATCACCTACAAGCCTTCTTCACATGGGTCAATACGGTAATCTGAAATTCACTCTTGAGAGAAGCTCGGAAATAAACCTCTTTCCGAGCTTTCCACACAAGAGCATTCTATAAACCAATGAACCTCCACTCATACCTGAGGTTCGACTCGAACCACCCACTAGCCCTAAAAAAATCCTTACCCTATTCTCTAGGTCTTCACCTAAAGAGAATTAATAGCAAGGAAGAGACTTTGCAGCCCCAGCTGAAGGACTTATGTCAGATGTTTAGGGACCGCGACTATCCGGAGACAAGCGGTTATTGGGAGACATTATCAGGAGATAATGTAGTCAGCACGAGAGAATCTCAGCACCAAAACAAGGGAGGAGATACTCCTATCGACAGTACCACAACGGACGAGAAGAGATGGATCCTGACGACCCTTTTCTTCCCAGGACTTGCAGGTCCACTCAAGAACAAAATGGCAGGGGTATGGGAGTGGCTCAAGGACAACTACTGGGAACACCCATCCTGGAGCAGCTTTGCACCAGCTGCATCTATGATAGCATGGAAACGAGGCAAGTCACTGAAGGACCACCTCGTAATGGGGACCTTAAGAGAGGTAGCCTAACCCTGGACTGAAACCTGCATATGAATAGACTAACCCTTACCTAACCTTGAGAGTGGCAAACTATAACTAACCAACCCTAACCTGTCCAGCATAACCAATAGGAGGACAGAGTACGCGAACACGAGAAGCAGTTAAGGAGGGCCCACAGTAACAAAATCCATGATTGATTGATAAAGATTAAGCCACCCAAGAGGTGGCACGGGCAACAAAATCCATCTACATAGCCCACAGATATAGAGAGCTGTTAAGAAGGACCCACATGTCCCCATGTGCAGATCAACCTATCTTATGGATTACCTGGGTGCCGTTGGGTATCGTCGGGTTGAAGACAAATGTATAATGGTCCCCTCATGTACAATCAAATCATCTTATAGCTTACCTGGGTACCGTTGGGGTACAGGTGACCGCAGACGGGAAACAATCAGACGGTGGACACTTCTTTGAAGTAAATCCCTTCACTCAGGATGTATCGGAGCGTCTCGTAGCTCAGAGTGATCAATACTGACTACTTGCGATGACTGATAAAGATTAAGCAACTCAAGAGGTGGCACGGGCATGAATAGCCCGTAAGACTACTTGTGCTGCAACTGTGGCATATAAGCTCCCTTATATGCCACAGTTGTAATGTACCTCACCTTATAGGTGAGGTACATTACATAAAATTATATGAAATCTCTACAATTCGTCGTTGAAAAGTTGATCCCCCGATGGTTGATGAGGTTAGTTCAAGTACGTTATTTGAGACAACAAAATACATCTTAGGCTATTTCTACCCTCCGCTACTTCAAGTCCCTCAAGGGGCGCACAAATCCAGTGAGTACAAATCCACAAATCACAGTACAAGCATCACATTTAACATTGCAGGTTAATATAGTAAACACAGCACATAAGTGTTACACTTTTGAGACAAAATGCTTGTAGTTCCTAAGTATTCTGTCTATCATATTATTATCACACATTCAATTTGATGTGACACTAATTATTTCCGTATTTATATAGTTATCAATAAGTTGACTCCGTTACGGGCTCACCATAGCCCGTGCTACTGGAACTTATTGTTCTGAGTAGCGAATCTTAAACAACAACAACAAGTTGACTCTCTAATACATAGTGATCTAAGGTGTGGACGTGTACAATACTACACTCTAATACACAGTGATCTAAGGTGTGGACGTGTACAATACTACACTCTAATACACAGTGATCTAAGGTGTGGACGTGTACAATACTACACTCTAATACACAGTGATCTAAGGTGTGGACGTGCACAATACTACACACTAATACACAGTGATCTAAGGTGTGGACGTGTACAATACTACACTCTAATACACAGTGATCTAAGGTGTGGACGTGTACAATACTACACTCTAATACACAGTGATCTAAGGTGTGGACGTGCACAATACTACACACTAATACACAGTGATCTAAGGTGTGGACGTGCACAATACTACACACTAATACACAGTGATCTAAGGTGTGGGCGTGCACAATACTACACAGTGATCTAAGGTGTGGGCGTGCACAATACTACACAGTGATCTAAGGTGTGGACGTGCACAATACTACACAGTGATCTAAGGTGTGGGCGTGCACAATACTACACAGTGATCTAAGGTGTGGACGTGCACAATACTACACAGTGATCTAAGGTGTGGGCGTGCACAATACTACACAGTGATCTAAGGTGTGGGCGTGCACAATACTACACAGTGATCTAAGGTGTGGGCGTGTACAATACTACACTCTAATACACAGTGATCTAAGGTGTGGGCGTGCACAATACTACACAGTGATCTAAGGTGTGGGCGTGCACAATACTACACAGTGATCTAAGGTGTGGGCGTGCACAATACTACACAGTGATCTAAGGTGTGGGCGTGCACAATACTACACAGTGATCTAAGGTGTGGGCGTGCACAATACTACACAGTGATCTAAGGTGTGGGCGTGCACCATACTACACACTAATACACAGTGATCTAAGGTGTGGGCGTGCACCATACTACACACTAATACACAGTGATCTAAGGTGTGGGCGTGCACAATACTACACAGTGATCTAAGGTGTGGGCGTGCACAATACTACACAGTGATCTAAGGTGTGGGCGTGCACAATACTACACACTAATACACAGTGATCTAAGGTGTGGGCGTGCACAATACTACACAGTGATCTAAGGTGTGGGCGTGCACAATATTACACAGTGATCTAAGGTGTGGGCGTTACCTTGAGGTTACCTTGAGGTGCTTCCGGGGCTTAGCGTCCCCGCGGCCCGGTCGTCGACCAGGCCTCCTGGTTGCCGGACTGATCAACCAGGCTGTTGGACGCAGCTGCTCGCAGCCTGACGTATGAGTCACAGCCTGGTTGATCAGGTATCCTTTGGAGGTGCTTATCCAGTTCTCTCTTGAACACTGTGAGGGGTCGGCCAGTTATGCCCCTTATGTGTAGTGGAAGCGTGTTGAACAGTCTCGGACCTCTGATGTTGATAGAGTTCTCTCTCAGAGTACCTGTTGCACCTCCGCTTTTCAACGGGGGTATTCTGCACATCCTGCCATGTCTTCTTGTCTCATGTGATGTTATTTCTGTGTGCAGGTTTGGGACCAGCCCCTCTAATATTTTCCACGTGTAAATTATTATGTACCTCTACGTGCACCATACTACACACTAATACACAGTGATCTAAGGTGTGGGCGTGCACAATACTACACAGTGATCTAAGGTGTGGGCGTGCACAATACTACACAGTGATCTAATGTGTGGGCGTGTACAATACTACACTCTAATACACAGTGATCTAAGGTGTGGGCGTGCACAATACTACACAGTGATCTAAGGTGTGGGCGTGCACAATATTACACAGTGATCTAAGGTGTGGGCGTGCACCATACTACACAGTGATCTAAGGTGTGGGCGTGCACCATACTACACACTAATACACAGTGATCTAAGGTGTGGGCGTGCACCATACTACACACTAAGGTGTGGGCGTGCACTAATACTGTATTACACACTGTATAAAAATTGTTGTATTGTACTAATACATAGTGATCTAAGGTGTGGGCGTGCACAATACTACACACTAATACATAGTGATCTAAGGTGTGGGCGTGCACAATACTACACACTAATACATAGTGATCTAAGGTGTGGGCGTGCACAATACTACACACTAATACATAGTGATC